ATGGTCACGACTGTGTTTATTGGGAATATTTATTGTAACAATTCCTGGTGGTAGTAGTGCCAGTCTCAGTTCCTTTAGCTAGAACTATCTATAGGAAAAATAGTGCTGTTAGCAACAAAAACCTGTGGATGAACTGTGCAGAAAACATTTCCTCGCACAGACAGTCGGTGCACTGGCGAATTATTTTTTTTTTTTTTTTTTCAATATAAAATGCAGTGTCAAGAGATTATCGAAAATCCCACCGTGGTGTGTTTATCTCTCTAACAATTATTGAAAACCGTTCCTATTAGGAAAATTCGTGTGTTGTGCAAAAAGGGAACCTATTACAGCTGTTGGTGGCGATTTGCAAGATGAGGAAAGATCTCAGTCGCCGGTATCATGGTTCACCTCTGGGACTAATGATCCAATTTCTGTGCTTGCCTCAATCGGAACTGGCGCGGTTCAGCTGCGTGAATGTGTTTCGTCCGCAATGTATTCTTGTCCGGTGGCAGGTTGTGGGCATCGCTATGAAGCGCAGTCGTCCTTGGCCGTGCACTATCATAGTCATTTTGTGAAGGAAGGAAGAGGAAGAGCAGTAAGTAATTCGTAAAGAATTTGCCTGCAAGAATGTCAGTTTGTTGTGCTACCCGGATGAGCATAATTTTTACAAAGGATTTGAATTTTAATTTTTCATATGGGGAAGTTTTGTTGGTTTTGGATGTATGTAAAAAATGGATGCAGAAGGTTTTTGTAATGAAAACATTAATTTATAGTTTTTACGAAAATGTTGCAGATTTTCGTCGAAACTATGGGTTCTCAGACAGACCCAGTACTGACAAAGGACGTTGGGCTCGATCCGGTCCAGGAATTGGCAGACTCATGGGATAAAGCAGTTTCGGAGGCGAAAATTGTTAAAAGCGATGAGAAAAATTCGCATCCAGCGTCGCCACGACCAAAATTATCGAAAACACTTACCAATCATGAGGAACAAAGCATCAACGAGCTGTTCAAGGTACAAAAAAAGAGCTTCTGAGCTGATGAGCGATTGTTTGCATTTCTTCAGCCTTCTCATATGGCATTTATTGCAGGTGGTTGCGCAAAAGACCGAAACAAGCAGTAGCATTGGTAAAACTGAAGAAAAGAAGCAAGTGATCACTGATACGCCGAGAATTAGCAGCAAAAGTATGGAAGCACGTCTTTTTTTGCGTTTGGTTTATGTAATTTGTGCATGGCAAGCAAACTTATGCATTTTTTAGCCTTTGGTGCCTTGCTAGCCGACGCAGACGATGAAGCTGTGAAGGATGTACCGTCAACTGCTCTGGATGCCATCCGCAAAATGGTGACAGATAACGAAACCGAAATAGCAGGCACACATGAACAGCAATCAGCAGCAGTCATCACCACAGCTCCGGCATCGAGGTTTCTTGCATTGTTTTACTCTTTACCTTCTTTTATTGGTTGGAGCAGATCGAAAATGATCCGTATTGAATGTTTTTATTGTGCAAAATAGCGCAATACAAGTTTTGCCGCACTTTTTTCCTATTTGACGAATTTTACTTTCTGTTGTGGTACAGAATACCTCTTTACTCGCCGGTCATTTAGCGGGACATTCGGTTTCTCCCTTTGACCGTAAGGGACTGCTCCAAGCTTTTCCGGTTTTTCTGTTATATTCAGTACCTTTTTGTTTTTATCGGTATTTGTGTTCTGCGTCAGCACTTTATTCATATTCTTTTTTTGGAGGAAGCGGTTGTAATTTTTAAAGGTAACATTGGTGTTGTTGCAACTTCCTACAACGCTTCTGAGTGTACATTTCCGGAGGAAAAGCCCTAGAATATGGAATTCTGTTCACTTTCAAAAACACGATGATCTGTATATTATGTTTTTTTTAACTGAAATGAATTCTAGTACTGCTGCTGCTGCTGCATCACTTGGTGGCGCCGCTTCGCCGGCGTTCTCGGATATATCGGATGATGCGCCCACTCTTGAAAAAGAGGTTTGTTTTGAATGTTCGTTTCGATGTAATTTGTTATAAAAGGTCTTGTTTGATGCTACTGTAAGCTGGCACTTTTAGGTCGCAGATAGATCGGAAGAGCGTTCGTTGGATCGAATCAAAGAGCTAGTAAATAACACTGACAAGGCACCATTGGGCCAACTCAGGTTCGTTTTTATATTGGACGAAGCAAAGGGATCGATTATATCACCTTTCATATCCGCTAGCGCTTTGATTTTTTCAGTTTGTCAGCAGAAAATGAAAAAACAAGCAGCAACATGACAAAAAGTGCACATGGCCCCACAAATCTGTTATGTCCTGTGAGCGCATCAGCTACGACCACAGTAAACACATTGGGTGTGCCGCGATTGTCAACTGACATTAGCCAGAACTCTGCATCTAATGGTTTCGTTTTACTAGTTTTTATGCACTTTTGCATATATGCAAATTGCAAGGACGCATATTGGGAAGAGGCTGTCTGTGTGTATGTTTGTGTGTCTGTGTGTTCGCACATTTTGTCACCCACTTTCAACTCGAAAATCAGAAAAGCTAGAAGGCTGAAACTTCGGGAGTGTGTGCCCACACCATGTGCGATCCTCCCGTTTTAAATAGCATCATCCGCGTACGCCTGAGTTCCACGTATGAATGCCTCAAAGAATACACAAATTTTTTGGCGGAGAAGCGATCTTGGGAACCAGAGAAGTTAGCGAGCTGGAACTTTACAGAGAAATTCTTTATACATCGTTGAGCTAAAGGTCTCAAATTCAGTTCGAGAAGCCCTTGGTTCACAGGTGTGAACAAGTTAGGGTTTTAGCGGGAAAATTAGTAACTCGGTAACCAGAAAAACTGAAAGGTTGAAACTTCAAGGCGACGTTTCCTGTCCATGCAAAATTTAAAGATTTCAAATTCAGTCCTCAGGTACGCGTGGTACATAGGAGCACGTAAAAGTTTAGGCGGATAAATTGCTAACTCGGGAACCAGAAAAGCTG